ACCCCCTGCTCGGGCAGGAAACCCTACACCATTTCGGACAAGTGGCTGTCCAGTCTCTTCTTAAAAACTTCCAGTGTTGGAGCACTTACTGCTTCTGGAGGCAAGCTGTTCCACTGATTAATTGTTCTCACTGTCAGGAAGTTTCTCCTTAGTTCTAGGTTGCTTCTCTCCTTGATTAGTTTCCACCCGTTGCTTCTTGTCCTGCCTTCAGGTGCTTTGGAAAATAGCTTAATTCCCTCTTCTTTATGGCAGCCCCTGAGATATTGGAATACTGCTATCATGTCCCCCCTTGTCCTTCTCTTCGTTAAACTAGACATACCCAATTCTAGCAACCGTTCCTTATATGTTTTAGCCTCCAGTCCCCTAATCATCTTTGTTGCTCTTCTCTGTACTCTTTCTAGAGTCTCAACATCTTTTTTACATCGTGGTGACCAAAACTGGATGCAGTATTCCAAGTGTGGCCTCTGTAGCGGTAGATGAACTTAAGACTCAGGTGTACACTTTTCATCAATGAATGAAGGCAAATATACGTATCCCAGGATAATGTTGCAGGATCCAATCTGGGTCAGTCACCGGGACTAGAGATTTTGTCTTTCAAGTTTTCAGACTCGTGCTGGAGCCCATCCTCAGGGAACTTATCTCCAGCAGAGTTTGGGTGCTCACACTCTGCTAGAGAGAAGTTCCCTGAAGATGGTCTTCAGCAAGAGTCCGAAAGCTCAGAAGACAAAAATCTCTAGCCACGGTGACCGACCCAGATTGGATCCTGCAACTTTCTACCAAGTAACATGCTTAGACACCAGAACATCTTCAGTCATGACTTGCCATGACTTAATTCACAAGATAATGTTTTTCTCCCATTAGTTTATTCCTTGTTTTGTCCATTAACCCATTTCCTTTGCCCAACATGCTGAACTGTAAACCAACTCTATGGATTGAATTAGCACATCCTACGTTTAAAAAGTGATTGACAGCTTTGTGGCCCAGCAGCTTGTGAGGACCTAGCCCATCCCTTTAAACTGGGGCCAGAAATGTATGTGCAAACAGTTTAAAAGCAATGAGTCCACCTTACTGTGCACAATCTGAATATTTGTGCTACATTTTGCAGGATTTGCATGCTTCCAAGTTGTTTCTAAAGTTAGCCCCAGTTAGAAAGAATTGCTACAATCCTGTTTAGTAACTGAAACCAGCCTTGTTTAAGATAACTCATCTGAGAATTTGACCTTCCAGGAGGAACATTAGATGAGCAGGCAGTAAGGTAGATTGCTATATTACAGTGTTTCTCAACCTTGCCTGTGAGATGTGTGGACTTTAACTCCCAGAGTGCTGGCTAGGGAATTCTGGGAGTTAAAATCCACACAATTGAAAGTTGCCAAGGCTGAGGAACATTTCTGTAGTTAATATATGAGGCGCTGTATCTGTGTTTTGCTTGGGATGCTGTAGCTAGTTAAAAAAGCACTGAAGAGACCTTTACCATCCTGGCTAGGAAATGGCTTGTTTGTATGATGCTGTTCATGGACTCTACCGAGAAAAGAAATTGCTCAATGGGAAAGGAAGCTAACTCTGGACTTTTGTACCGTTTACGTGCCTTTTCCATGAAAAACAATACCAAATTATATGTTGCAATGGAGAAGGGGTTTATTTGGAGGAAAGGTGAGAAGTCAGTTTAAAAGACATGTATTTGGATTTTTAAATAATAGGTTCTCCTTTCTTGTGGAAAGATACATCTTATGATTTGCTTCAGTTTTGTGGGCAAAGCACAGCTTCTGGTTCGTGCTGTTCCAGTTTGGATAACCCTTTATTATTTTTGTTGGGTTAGAAAGTGCTGACTCAGATTTGATTTTATAAGGGATGACATTTAAAAGAATGGGGGCTAATTATAGTTTCAACCATAGTTCCGCAGGAGAGGGCATCCATATTTCTATTAAATATTTCTGGAGCAATATGATGAGTCATTAAATACAACTTCTGCACTAAATACCCTGATTGCCTAACGATTAGGTGTTGGTAACTGAAATCACACGCACTCACACACACCATTCTTTCTCTCCCAAAATCTTTCTTGCATAAAACCAAAGAAATGTTGTTCTGAGTAATACATTAGCTGGGGTTGCCCAAGAATTGTAAAATGGCCTTTGGTTGCACAACATGTAAAAATGCAGTCTGGAAAATGTCTGTTATGCCTATGACAGAAATGTTACTTCTGTAAATACATAGACAAAAATAGTCAAAAAAGATGATAATATTTTTGATAGTGGCGAACAAAATATAATGGATGCTGACAATGAATCAAAAATATTTCATAGCCAGCTGGTGGATAGCTAGTATAGCACAGTGGACATAGATATTGAGAGACTCAAAATTCAGAATTAAGTTAGTTTGCTTCTCTTCAGACCATTGTGGATTTTTAATCCATACTTTCTTGTGGGGTTAATATGAAGATAAAGTGGGAATGGTTTTCAAAAATATAGATGGTTTTCTTTCAAGTAATGGCTTAGATTAGTGTAACCTGTTAGGAAACATATGATCACCCTAATACTTCATATACCTCTACAATTCAAATGCAAAAATGTGACTAAAAATTCTCTTTCTCATTTTAGTTGGAAAAAAAAATTAGTGTAAGTAACGAAGAAGTTTACATGCTCGGTAAACAATTGTATGAAAGAAATAATAATATAGATTGAATTCTGTCCTACCCTTGGCTCATATTCAAATGTTGCTACTTTAAAATTAAGAAATCTAATTTTGCATACAAATGGGAAAGAAAAGTCTCCTTTCAATTTCTTTTTTCCCCAATCAGATCAGGAAAAATAGGGGCTCCTGTAATAGTGCTACTATCAACCTTAGTTTGATATAAGAAAACTTTGGGGCTAAAAAAAGAAATGGGAATATATCAAGCCATAATTAATGTTGAGCAGATGGATAATTCAGAGTCAATCGTAGCTTCCAATAGGAAAATAATGATTAGCTAGCCCATCTGTCCTGCATTCTAGTAAAAAAAGGTTCAAGCAGCTTTGAAAGGTCCTGCTTTAATTGATTTACTAATAAATGAGTGTTAAGTGTTTTGGCTTATTCAGTTTCCAAGATTCTGTATATTAACTCCTTAGCTTCTTGACAAAAAGCTGAGCTAGAGAAATTCACTGTAAATCTTTCTGGGTCATACTCCTCTGTTAGAGATTTGATGGTTCAGAGAGAGGAAGAGAAAGATTTTAAATCTATACTCATTTGTGAGTTACAGGCTCATTAACTCTTATTTCCTGGAGAGCAGGTTGAAGATAATTTCTATAGGGGCACATTTTGTCCTCTGATTAACCAACCGAATTGGGACCAGTGTATCTTGGTGCAATTGGGCATTTCCTATTAGTTGAAAACACTCTGTTGTTAAGCCTTCTCCAGGCCTACCACAGGCAAACCTATTGTGGTATAAGAATTTAAGAGGAGGCTTTTTTGTCCCATATTTTGTTTCCCACAGGGAAAACCAGTTGTCTGTTAGGAAGTCCACATGGAAACTCTCATTTGGGTCCCATAGTTACTGAAATCTAAAGACTAGTAGTTACCGTTAGTTTAATCCTTTATGAATAGTCTAATCCTCTTCTAAAGTCCTTCATGGAAGGCTCAATTTCTGGAGATTACAAGTAAACATCCAAATATATAGGCAGTCCGTGACTTAACAACCATTTGTTTAGTAACCTTTCAAAGTTACAGAGATTTTGGACCCAATGTTGTTATAAGTCAAGGATTTATACTTGGTACTTGGTAGCAACATGGAGGTGGTTGTTGTTGCCATCTTATGGGATACACTTTCAACTTTTCAGTCTAGCTCATAACTTTTCTCTGGTGGTCTCCCATCTTAGTATTAAACAGGTCTGACTCTCCTTAACTTCCAAGCCCCAAAAAGATGGTTGGTGATATTCATTGGATCTTGTAGTGGTGAGTTCCACAGTTGAACTGTGCCGTCTTTATGGCAGCACTTTTGAGTGCTGATGCTAATGGTATGGAAAGTTGAATTGCCGTATTTGAAAGAGATAATTGATTTCCATGGAATGCTTAACCATAGTAGGCTGTGAATTGCAGTTGTGATCCTCGCACAGCACTATTGTGATTTAATTTATTTATTTAGGGCTACTAAACTTTAATCTTAATGCAGCGAGCCTGTACTTGATGTCTTAGATTACATTAAATGACTACAAATACAATTTAAAACACATGTACATATTTTAAATTATAAACAGACACTTAATAAAAGAATTCGGTAGAGCAAGATAGGCAAATGGCTTTTGAAACAGAGAATCCATCAACATATACAAGTAGTTCTTGACTTACAACAGTTCATTTAGTGACCGTTCAAAGTTACAATGGATCTGAAAAAAGTGACATGATCATTTTTCACACTTATGGCCATTGCCGCATTCCCATGGTCATGTGATTTACATTTGGATGCTTGACAACTGATTCATATTTCTGAGGGTTGCAATGTCCTGAGGTCATGTGATCACTTTTTGTGACCTTCTGATAAGCAAAGTCAATGGGAAAGCCAGATTCACTTAACAACCGTGTTATTAATTTAACAACTGCAGTGATTTAGTTAACAAACATGACAAGAAAAGTCATAAAATGGAGCAAAACTCACTTAACAAATTTCTTACTTAGCAACATAAACTTTGGGCTCATTGGTGGTTGTAAGTTGTATTTGAAATTCTCGAGAAAGTGAACATGATAATTTCCCTCAAACCATCACTAAAAAAGCCTGTTTGTGATCTCTATCAATGACGGTTAGATCTGGTCTTTAAAAGAAGCCACTCAGTTCAGTTTTCTATCAATGCAGCATTTAGGGAAATAGCTTTTACACGTTTAAATCAAACTGTGTTGCCCCTGCCATTTCCTTGCATACATTTAGTATCTTTTGGTCTCTTCGGTTCTCTCTAACATCTTCAGATCCTAGTTGTCTGAAAGAGCGAATTTTCTTTCTTTTTTTTTTAATTAAGTAAACTTTTATTTTGCAGATGACCTGGAAGAAATTAACACAATGGAAGAAGTGATGTTGGAATATGCTGTAATGAACAGAGAACTGAGTCATTATGTGCAAGCTGTTGAAGATACAGTAAATCAGGTAAATGTGGTTGATCTTTAGTCCAGCTTTTATAGCTTTCCCATGTCATGAAAGCAAACCGGAGTTTGAAACACTCTAATGATTAACGAATTGTATGAGATCACTTTTCTTCTCTCGACATGTGACAGATAGTGAATTAGGAACTGAGTCACAGAAGCCAGTACTGTATTCATATGTACCTTTTGTGTCTTAGAAGAGTGGCCAGTATCTGCCCTGCCCATGTGAGAACCATTAGTTTTCAGGGTTTTCTTGTGCCCTGTTTAATTTTTAAAGCTGATATTGGTGGTGGCTAAGGAAGATGTGGGAATTCTCTTATTTTTCCTTCCCTGTAACTTGGAATAAAAGTGACCTCCCTTAGAAGTGTGTCTAAAGCACTTTGAGTCAGAGGTTTTCAAAAATTTTAAAGTCACAGAACACATTCATTTAAAAACAAGTCCTTGAATTCCAGCTCAAGAGCTAAAGCGGTAGTGATGGTAAATTGGCTGACTTTAAATGAAGGTAGATGGGGTTTGTTCCTTGTCTCTCACAGGCCCCCATCAAACCCTCTAATCCAGGGATGTCAAACTCGTGACGTCGCGCGACGTATCAGAGCTTTTTCACCATTGCCGGCAATGGGGTGGGCGCGGCTCTGGTATGGTAACACCGGCCCGTGGGCCGGCAGTTTGACACCCCTGCTCTAATCTTAATTGTAGGAGTCAGTGGAACATAATTTGGAAAATGTCCTTTCAGTTACTCAGTATGTTATATGAGCTCAGCATTTGTTCTGTACCAACCCCTGGATTTTAACAAGTGACATACTTTTGCAAGCTTCTATAAAATTCTGGAACTGTTTCAGATATTTCAGTGGAATTATGAAGTACTCGAAATTGTGCAAAAAAAGAAAAAAAACCCTTGGGGTGGGGGAAAGGAGAGGTTATGAAAGCTATATAGCTATATATGGAAGATGAGAATTTAAAGAGAAGGAAAAAAATTCTGTGGTAGAATAAAGGGAAAGGTGAGTGACGGTGCTAGGAAACTTTAAGAACACCCAACTCCATCCATTCCCAATTCAGGACCACACTACTGTGAAGGGACTACAATTCACAGCCAGGAACCTAAGGAATTCTGGGAGTTGTAGTCTCAACACGTCTACAGGGAACCAAGTTGGGGATGTCTGAACTATTTAATGAGATGCAATTATAATATATGGAAATGAAGATTAGAGTTAGGGGAAGGAATATTAACAATTCAGAGACTTTTCTGATGATTTATAGCACCAAATCTGTTAGGGGCTTAGGTTTGGTTAAGAAGTTTGGATAACTTGAGATATTAGCAACCAGGTGGTATAGCAAAAACTGTAGGATTGATTGAAGCCAGAGATCAGAAAGTTGGGTTGGATAGATCAGAAAGCAGTGAGAGGCATGGAGGTGGGTTTGACATTGTGAAAAGAGCAGTAGCATGAAACATGCCAAAACTGTCTCTTCAGACATACTTTTTCAAAGTTTTACTGGCAAGCTGGATTAGTCCTTTCTTCTAGAGATTCCACAACCCTTAAGTGTCTTAAAGACTCTAATAATAAATTGAATAAAGAATTATTATCTTTGAATAAATTAAAAACTGGAACTTTTTAAGAAGAGACCGGACAGCCATTTGTCTGAAATGGTATAGGGTTTCCTGCCTGAGCAGGGGGTTGGACTAGAAGACCTCCAAGGTCCCTTCCAACTCTATGATAATGATGATGATGATATAAAGGAGCACATTTGTAGCTCAGGCTTGAAATGATGGGTCCTTGATACTCTCTGAACTTGATTATTTTCTTGCAGACGTTTCATTACCCAACTTGGTAACATCATCAGTGAACTGTATTGATGATGTTATTACCTAGTTTGAATGAAATCTTTGCAAATAAAATTTACCAAGCTTAGAGAGCATCAAGGACCCCTCATGAATAAGTCACTTAGCCTCTGTTCCATCGCACTGACCGAGAGGAAAGATCGTGACATTCTAGTTATAGATACGGTTGCCACAGATTGAGAAAGCTTTGCTGTTCGGTCAATTTTGGAAGCAAAGCCTTTGTCCTACAACATAAGGGGGAAGTGAAGGGCAAAGGCCCAGGGGCTGGTAGAAAAGCAGAACTGGCATTCCTGCTCTTTCATAGCCTTCAGCAAGGATGTTGGCAGAAAATGCCCTTTCTCCCTTGTTAATAAAAATCCCAAATTGTGATGTATTTTACATGGATGGGGATACCCAGGCTGTTTTGATGAAGAGCTGACCTTGGATAACCCTGTCAGCATGATTGCTTTACAGGAATCACATTTAGTGGCATTCATTATGAGCAGCCGCAGTAGCTGTTTTTGGCAGATTGGTGGGTGTTGAGTAAGTAATCATGAGATGTAATAGTAATAGTAGTAAAGTTGGAAGGGACCTTGGAGGTCATCTAGTCCAACCCCCTGCTCGGGCAGGAAACCCTACACCATTTCGGACAAATGGCTGTCCAGTCTCTTCTTAAAAACTTCCAGTGTTGGAGCATTTACTGCTTCTGGAGGCAAGCTGTTCCACTGATTAATTGTTCTCACTGTCAGGAAGTTTCTCCTTAGTTCTAGGTTGCTTCTCTCCTTGATGAGTTTCCACCCGTTGCTTCTTGTCCTGCCTTCAGGTGCTTTGGAAAATAGCTTAATTTGCTGGTTCCCAGAGCTGTGCATTTCTTTTTTTTTTTTCTTCTTCTTCCCTCTACCTCAAATAATCCTTCACCCTTGCTACTTATAAAACAATAAAAGGGTCTGTCGAAAATGAAAGATTGGTAGCAAAATGTATAGGTGCGTAGCTGAGAAAGCCAAGTTTTTGTTGACTTAAGATGTTGTAAGAGCAAAAGGGCAGGTGAGCCACACCAACATCCTCATTTGATTGACTCAGCACTCACTGAATAAGAAACAAGCAATTGCTGTTATATTTCTAACAATTGGCTTTGGGAACCCCTTTGTTTGAGCAGAAATGAAAGCTCCCTTCTGTGCTCCTTTTAGCTTACCTGGCAGGTAACCCACCTTCTGTTACTTCTCTTTTTCGATGGGCTTAGGTTATTTTTTATTTCTCCCTCCCTTTTTCTTCAGATTGATCAACATTAAATTAGTAAAATTAAGCAGTGGGCTTAAAGATCTCTTCATTTAGTGAAATTTTTAAAAAGGAGGAAAAAATTATATTTTATTTAAAATGTCACAAAGTGCAAACAAGCCAAGATTATACAGTAGTCCATTTTGCAGACTTCTTCAAGGGCGAGCCAGACAGATGTGATGGGATTGCAGTTGTCTGAATTTTCAACCTATCGTGAGAGCACCAGATTGGGGAAGTATGGGAAATATACAGAGATTTGCATACAGCTCTTACTATTCCAATAACCAGTAGCAAAAATTATTTTCATTTTTTTTCTTTCTCATGAGGCAGCATAAAGAGCAAAAATAAACTCAGGACAAAGGACAGGTAATCCTCGGCTTATGACTGCAGTTGGGACCAGAATTTTGGTCGTAAGTTGTAACAATCATAAGTCGAGGAACCCATTTCACTGGACTAGATTTTACGACTGTTTTTACAACAGTCATTAGGGGAATCATGTCGCATATGTGAACCCATTTCCCAGATGGGCATTTTTTGCTGGAAAAATGCTGCAAATCAAACAAAAAATGTCATAAATTGTGGCCATGTGACCATAGGATGCCACAACCAGTTGTAAATGTGAACCCGTTGTCACGTGCCCAAAATCACAGTCCTGTGAACACAGTGCGGGGGGGGGGGGGAAGGTGCCACAACATTTTACGAAGGCTAGAAGTACTTTATGGGCCATAAAGCAACCTTTCCAAGGCTGTTTTGCCCCATTTGTAACTCCAAACAGTTGTTTAATGATAGGTCGTAAGTCAAGGAGTACCTATCACACATATGGAATTTTTTATGCAGCTGTTAGTTAATCAGAGATGGCTGAGATCTGTATTAAAGATCATATACTTGAAGAAATCTGATTGTAGCACTTTTTCAAATTAAGATTTTGTTAAGGAAAATATACTTTCTTTGATAATGACCAATTGAGTATATGGGTTACAGTGTTCACTGTAGTACAGTGTACAGGTAGTCTTCAACGTAAGATCACAATTGAGTCAAACATTTCTGTTGCTAATGAGACAGTTGTTAAGTGAATTTTGCCCCATTTTATGACCTTTCTTGCCATAGTTGTTAAGTGAATCACTGCAGTTGTTAAATTAGTAACATGTTTGTTAAGTAAATCTGGCTTCCCTACTGACTTTGCTTGTCAGAAGTTCGCAAAAGGTGATCACATGGCCCCAGGACACTGCAACCGTCATAAATGTGAGCCAGTTGCCAAGCGTCTGAATTTTGATCACATGATCATGGGGATGCTACAACAGTTGTAAGTGTGAAAAACAGTCATAAGTCACTTTTTTCAATGTCGTTGTAACTTCGAACAGTCACTAAATGAACTGTTGTAAGTCGAGGACTACCTGTATTTGCAGGTATATTTTCATCATACTGTTTCTTTTAACTGTCATGATATCAACCAGCAAATGTAGCATAATGATTTTGCCTGGCTTTATGGCATCACTATCTGCAGTATGGCTTCCTCCTATGAGTACTAAATTCAATGTTTTTATTATTTATTTTTTACCACCCTTGAAATGAACTGTGTGTCTTTACGATAACTTGTACTGAAACATCCTAAAATTGTAGTAAAGTTTCTAAACGAAAAGAAGTCGGCAATAGTTTCATAATATAATAGATGGGGTACAAAGAGAATTTAGATACATAGGTAGTCCTTGACTTACAACCCTTCATTTAGTGACCATTCGAAGTTATAATGGTACTGAAAAAAGTGACTTATGACCATTTTTCACTTATAATCACTGAGCATCTTCATGGTCACGTGATCAAAATTTGGATGCCTGGTTCATATTTATGAAGTCACAGTGTCCCAAGTTCATGTGAACACCTTTTACATCCTTCTGACAAGAAAAGTTAATTGG